GGGGAGCAGGCCTAAGCCAGGAGGTGATCATCCCCCAAGGGGTCCCAGACTGCGAGAGGGCACAGGCCGGGCTGAGGGACCGCCCCCACCCCACAAGTGTACAAATTTTTGTGCACCAGGCCTCTAGTATTTTAATAAAAAGCAAATGATTTTATATCTTTCTAATCATAAGGTCTTACTATGGAACAAATTCACACATGCCTGTGCATGCGCACACATGCGCAAACACACACACCTTGTGTGGAAATTTTCTATCCTTCTACTGAACTTTGGCTAAAAGCTAGCTACTGCTGCCAATATATTCAGGGCCTACATCTATTTATCTTCAACATATGCTTTCTATTAAAGTTGCAAAGAATAGGACACAATGATGAATTTTAAATTGCACATTTAGGCAGAAGGTGACTTGTGTAGATAATTGGAATAGTACAGTTTCAAATGCCTTCCCATCATGTTTCTTTCTCTTTGCCTTTAACCAGTAGGTGAAGTCTTTGCTTTTTAATATAATTTTATGTCCAAAAAAGAAAATAAATGCATATTACCATACAAATGTAACATCAATTTAGAAACACAAATTATAAGCTCTTTCATTACATGATCATATGAAATAATATTCAGGAAAATGTTCATCTATAATCTCTTCATTTTACATATATAACATTCTGTGTGACTGCACACTCTATTATATGATCTCATTCTGAAAGAGAGTATTATAAATACAAGAAAAGGGTTAGAGCTAAGCCAAAAGTGAAAAAATTCTTTGACTTTTATGCTATGAAATCTCAAATACTGTGATCATTTTTTGCGTAAATTTCTATAACTAGGAATGGCACAACCAAGCACAGTTCAATAGCCTATCTAGTCTGATATCCTGCCTCTGACAGCGACCAATTCTGGATGCCTCACAGGACAGCCTAAACACATAATGTATATAATTATGTACCACTACGCCATTACTCCAGATGGTGGTTAGATAATATCGTGAAAGAAATGAAAACAAATCAGAATCCTTATCCCTTCCCTACTCTAAAATTTCCCAAAAGGTGATGGGAAACCTCAAAGCACACATTTTACCATAAAATAAGCCAATGCTTTGGTAACATAATGACCAAGAAATGATCTCCTAAAATGAAAAGTCCAACGTAGAAATAGAATCTTAGCTCATCAAAACTCATGATTTGTAAAGGGGTATTTCAATGGATTGAAAAGTATCTAATTCACTCAATTATAATTATATACCAAACAGATGAGCAAATTTTACTAAAGCTTTAAAAAACTCTATCTTTTATCCAACCCATACATTTTGTGATATGTAATACTGTTTCCTACAAACAATATAAAATTTGTATTTTTAACTCTTCAGAGAAATGATATTCACACTTGTTTTGTAATGGTTTTAAAATAAGGCTTGGATTTATTACATGTTCATCTAAGTGTGCAGAGCCACAAAATGAAGAAATCTTGGTTTAGTCATTCAGGAAGTGCTATTTCCTAAACAATCATAGACAAAATAAATACACTCTACTATTAAAAAATTTTGGCAAAGATAATTCTCTTCCTAAGTATACCTGGATATTGATTTAACAATGCTTGTAGTTGGGAAATAGTTTCTGACCTAAGTCTTTCATGGTATAATTTTTATTCATTTTCTCTTTTTCTGTCCTCAAATAAGTTGTAAAATATTAGGTCATATCATAATATTTTATATACTTGAAAATCCTTAGAAAGGACTCCTTTTCCAAGTAACTGCATTGGAGGATGATGAACCAAGTAATAGTCTTGTGCTGCATTGTCTTATAATTTTTATATGCTGTATGTCATAGCGCAAAAGACAAATCTCAAAAACTACTTACCCACCATTTTTACCAAGCACTACTCT